AAAATAGACAGAAATTTAGAAAAATAAAATAAAAAAATAGACGTGACATATAGTACACATATTACATACACTTGACCAAGTCAACATTAACTTATTTGTTAACTATTATAAAATTTAAAATGGAGAAACCTTGGACTTGCTCTTATGATCCTTGGCAGCATCAGACACAGATTTTGTAGCTTTACCCAAACCCTCGCCTATTTTCTTGACGATTTTAGTCGAAACCTTTTCTCTTTCTTTCGGGAAAACACTGCCCTTTTTCCCGTTGTAGCCGCTGCTCGATCCACCATTGTTCGAGTTCATTTTATTTTTCTCGACTTTTTAATTCTTCTAGCTATTGAGTATTGATATTGGTTTTTGAGATGGTGTAATGAAATGTGCTATACTAACGGTATGCTATTTATAGAGAGCCTGATTTTACTATTTTTATTTTTTGTTTTCTATCATTTTTTTCCCCTTATTTACGTTGTAATTTTGGTTTTAATGCCGTGTTTTTTCATGGAAATTTTAATTAGCTAAAGACCCACATTGCCTTAATTTTTATTAATATTTCAATATTTTCCCCCAAAGTCTACAACAAAAAGCGTGTGTGTGTGTGTGTGTGTGTGAGTTTGTATATAGTGTGTAAACGAAAATGTAAAATAAATAAATAGATAAATAGGTAAATTGTGTTATAATTTGGTGAGGCCATGCAGAATATCTCTGAATTTAATTTATGAAGTGGATGATTGTGACAATTATTTAAGATTTGGTCACGATCGAGTAAAAATGCAACATTTGGCGTGTGTGTGGGTCTAATGTGTGGTACGGTTTACGTGTTTTTTTTTTTTTTAAGACCCTCTTGTGGTTTGTGATTTTTACTTGGTCCTAAATTTTATGTATTTTTTTTATGTGTCATGTAATGTGATTTATGCATGAAGTTTATTTTAATGTAGTTGATATTCAAGTCTTTATATTGGACCAATAATACTTCTAAACATCAGTAATTAGTATCACTAATATAGAGTCAACTGTTAGCTTCGTAGCGAATCTGAGCTGATATAATTTTATATATACTGACTTAGAGTTTTATCGGGACTAAGGGTATATTTGGTTCAATGAATGAAAAGTGAGAGGAGAGAAAATGATAAATTTTGTTTAGTTATAAAATAAAGAGAAGAAATCTATATATATATATATAATTGCTAGCTAATCATTAAATAAAACCTCATAAATAAAACCTAATTAATAAAACCTCATTTATTTTCCCTCCAACAGAAGTTACAAAATTTGTCATTTATATTTTGTCTTTCACATTAATACACCCCTATTAAGTGTAATCATGTAAAAAAATTAATAGCATTAACTATTATATAATATAAAAATAGCATTAACTACTATAATA